TAGTGTGAATGATATACTATTTAGTTTAAGCCATTGCTCCTGTTACTGCTAGTTGCCTTTTCTTAATAATAAACAAATATTAAGAATATTAACTGAAATGTCTATTTTCTTTTGCAAGGTAAAAGACAAAGTTCAGACAGCAAAGACCAACAAACCACCTGATGGCCTTCAGAATTGTTTGGCTTCTGATGGGCAGAGAGCAGTAATCTTGGCAGCACAGATAAAAATGGATTATACACAGTGTATGAACAACTTTTTTAGAAATCATAACTAATAAACACTATTACACTAGTAAAGCTATTATTAAAGAATTGTCATAAGAATGACACTGCAAGTCTCTTCTAGAGTGAAACGTGTTGATCTGCTTGAAGTCTAAAATGTCCTGACATTGGACTGTACCAGAAATGGGGTGTCTGGTCCTAATTTTGCATCTTGGTGTAAATTACTGATTATCACTGTTAGTTGTTCTTTTAGTTTTTTTTTTTGTCATTTTTGTGGTATCATAGTAGTATTAAAAGTAATAATAGAATGTCTGTGTTCATTTGAATGTCAGCAGAGACGTGCAAACAGCACCTTTGAACCTTCTTTGCCTTCTGATGGACTGACAGCCTGAACTACTGCTGACAAACTAATTAATATTCACATAATATTAACACATACATTTCAGAAGTTCCTGAAGTTCTTTCCAGTAATTATTTGGACAGAGCCAGAAAAGACATGTGTTTCTGGTCCTAATTTTGAATCTTGGCATACATTTTTCCTTGAGTTCTAAGAGTCTTTTTTGTGGTAATAAAGTAATTTAGACATAATTACTTAGAATATCAGCAGGGACATGTAGACTTTTTGGCTTCTGATGGACAGATTCCTGTATCCCCTGCTGGACGAGTAAAAAAAAGTTTTTGAATGATTACCTTAGCGAAGTTTTGTTAAAAGTTCATCATTGACTTTCCCATCATGAGGATGATCAAAAACCATATGAAAATATTTCAAAAACTGTTCCTAAGTGTGGTTCTGGGTATTAGGCCAGATAGCGGTTGCCTAATCTAAAGTTTGGTCAGTCAAATGTGATATTACAAGAAAACATCTTACTTTGAGCAGAGCTCAGAAAATTGAGCACTGAAGTGGAAAAAAATGCAGTATTTATCAGGGTTTTCCGTTAAACTTGTCGGTTTTACTAACTGAAAAACTAAATCCATCTACAGACATAGAAACAGCAGCAACCTTCTCACTCTTAGTAGACATACCTAATGCTTGTAATTGGGATGTTAGGCTCTTTCACATTGGTGACAAACTGAACCAGTTGTGTCTGTTGCTCTGTGTGCTATTGGCTGAGTAATGCTCTCTGGAAATGCTCTTAATAGAAATCCTTTTCTGTGGGTTAATTCTTGGTGTTTAATCAAAGCGTTAATGATTATACTGATTAGCAGTTTAGCCCCAATGTTTAGCTTCACCCATTCAGACTACAGCAGTTTAACCCCACCAATTCAGACTACATGTCATGCTTCTCTTCAACCCAGTAGTCCCTAACTCTCTACCCACCGAGCACAACCTGGACTCCAACTCACAGAATCCCTCAGAGGAAGACATGACTGACTCATTTTTCCTCATCCAATCACAGACTACTCATCCTCATCGAAGGTTCTACACTCCCCAAATCGTGATTATATCTACTCACCCAAGAAGAGGAAAGAGCCCTGGAGGATTACATACAGGAGACCCTAGATCAAGGTTTTAGTCGCTCCTCTACTTCTCCTGCTGCATCTGGATTCTTCATTGTGAAAAAGAAAGATGGGGGTCTTCACCCCTGTGTAGACCATCAGAGCCTAAACCACGTCACCAAAAATACCTTTATCCTCTACCTCTCAAGTTTTTCAGTAAACTCCATCTCAGGAGTGCCTACAACTTGGTTCGAGTTGAGGAGGGTGACGAATGGAAAACAGCATTTGTTACCACTAGGAGGCACTATGAACATTTGGTCATGCCATGATCAGAATCAGAATTGCTTTATTTTGTTAAACATACAAGTTTGTCTTGGCGAGTGCATACATGTATGACGTAACACACTAAACAGAGCAAACAGCACACAGAATATTAACAAGCATTAAACTAAGGGAAAAGTAAAATAAAATATAATCATGTGAAATGTGCAGGGAGCTCAGGAGGAGCTCAGGAGTACATGTGAGATGTGTAGACATCTGTACATATACAGATATGAATGTCTGTACATAGATGTGTACTGTAAAATATACTATAAAAACTATTATATACAAAATATTAGTGATACAAACATTTGCAAAATGTACTTGTACAGTAGTGCAAACAAACATGCTACAGAATGAGTTATACTGTAATACTGTAAGGGAGGTTTGTTGGTTCAGTTTAAGTTTAAAGTGTGAGGTGTCCACCGTGGTTAATGAGTTACAGCTCTGGGGAAAAAAGCTGTTAGCATGTCTGGTTGTGCTGGTTTTGATGTCCCTTATTCTTCTATCAAAGGGAAGTGTTGGAAGAGGTGATGTCCAAAATGAGAGGGGTCAGATGTTATCTTGCCAGCACCCTTTGTCACCCTGCCATTGTAGATGTCCCGAAGCATTTGCAGACTACATCTTGATGATCCTTTTCTCTGTTCTGATTATGCGCCTGTGTTTGTCTCAGAGATTACAGAGATTTCTAGATTTTGTGTTATTAGAAACTTTAGTAGCATCACCACTCCCCTTACAGCCCTCCTGAAGGGAGCCACCAAGAAGGTGTGTGTCCAGCCTGCGCCACCTGCTGCCAGCAGAGGGTGGCCCCCAGCACCGCAGCTTGTTGCTGGCTCCCCGGCTTACACGGTCCGCCGCCTCCTGGACTCCCGCCGTGTGCGGGGTGGCATCCAGTACTTGGTAAACTGGGAGGGCTACGGGCCTGAGGAGCGGTCTTGGGTTCTGGCACGCCATATCCTGGACCCGGAGCTCATTAGGGAGTTCCGACGGACACGTGCTGCTGGCCTTGGGACTTCTGGGGCCGTCCCTAGGAGGAGGGGTCCTGTAAGGGTTCAGCCGGCCCCGCCTGCTGCCGGCAGAGGGCAACGGCGGCAGGGTGTCCAGCCTGCGCCGCCTGCTGCCAGCAGAGGGCGACGGCGGCAGGGTGTCCAGCCTGCACCGCCTGCTGCCAGCAGAGGGCGACGGTGGCAGGGTGTCCAGCCTGCGCCGCCAGCTGCCAGCAGAGGCGATGGCAGCACAGGGCCATAACTTCAGGGAACTCCAATTCCCAGAGGTCCGCGGGCTGATTAGGCCCAACATGACACACCTGCAGACTCCTCTACTTAAGGTCAAGGCAAACAGTGGTGTTTGTCACACCATTGTAGAAGGGTGACCGGTACGGTACTTAGTGTCAGAAAAGAAAAGAAAAGAAACTGCCCCAAAACTAAAAAAGAAAAAGAAAAGAGGGCTGAGAGAAGAAACTGCCCCAAAACTAAAAAAGAAAAAGAGGGCTGAGAAAAGAAATTGCCCCAAAACCAAAAAAAAGAAAAGAAAAGAGGGCTGAGAAAAGAAACTGTCCCAAAGCTACTTAAAGAAAAAAAAAAAAGTCTGCCTTCACTTCGTTCTTGGAGTGGAAGTGTTTTTTGTTTTCCTATTATCTGTCCTCTCGCCTTTCTAGTTCAGCCTTTGTTTGAGCTGCTCTCAGCGTCTCTTTTGTCTGCCGTTCGTCGTTTTCCCGCCTTTTCTTTTCCCGCTTCCTTGAGGTGTTTTGCCGGTAGTCACCTGTGCTCCTCAGTGGCGCAGTGGTAACGCCACGAAGCGCCGAGCTGTACATCACCGGTTCGAACCTGGCTTTGGGTCACCTCATATGCATGTTTCAGACTCACAACCCAGTGCCACAATAAACTCATTTTTCCATTTTTTTCTGTTTCCATTTCTGCACTTGGGTCCGCCTCCCCGCCGTCCCGTAACAATTTGTACATGGGGTATTTCTTCCGCAGCTGTTTCTGACTTCTTCGAGGCTTACCTCCATGGTGGCTTGGGACAAACATCCTAGTTCATCATAGCAGCACAGATACATGTCTGTTTTAAGGTCTGTGTAGTGTCTCTTTTCATAATGTATTAGCTTAACCCTAATCATGCCTTTCCACTCAGTTTACTTCTACTGTGTCACAGTTAGCTGAAGAACCATCTCTGTAACTCTCTTATAACTGCCGACCACTTTTGGCCTAGTCAGGGAGTTGGGGATGACCGTCTGTATTTTGGCTTCTTTATTTTCATGTAGGCAAGTTAGTTCTCTAAACAGTTCTCTAAATGTTTGTTTGTTGTTTTGCCACATGCTCATTCTGACATCTGTCCTGTGTTGGTCTAGAAAGAAAAGAAAATTAAACGACTTGATCTGTTTAAACGCTAAATTGCTCTCTTATTCTTTAGACAGGATTTTGGCAGGATTCTTTCATACATATATACAAACAGATTAAAATCCATTTTGTTAATGTGGCAGTATATTCTGCAATGTATTTGAAAAGTTTTTCAAATATATAAAAATTCATATACATATATTTTTTTCCACATGGTTTAGGCCTGTGCACTTAACACACATACATAACACACAAATCAGAAGTTGTCTGATTTGTCGCTGAAATGGACACAGGAAGCTTACATCAGGCCCTCTGTGTCAGAGTGAGAAATCTTCAGTGATGCATTCATACGCAGAGGATAAAACACCAACTTAAATGACTCCAGAAGGTTGACTGTTTGCATTTGCGTTTGAAGTGCATTGAAAATCATTTATTATTTATTAGTGGAAATCTTTTATTCATTTTTGCTTTGTGAATTGATGGGTATTTAAAAAAATCAACATTAAGTTCTCGTCATCCAGACACAGCCCTTTACGGTAATTGGCGTGAATGAACTTGACATTTAAAAAACAAACAGTTCCTCATGACCTTTAGACTGTCAATATGTACAAACTCAGTTCCAAAAAGTTGGATGTGGTGTGTGCCCATTCCCCGGGCCCCCAGTGATGACATTGAGAGCTGGCAGGAAGGTGTGACAAAGCCTTGCAAGGACGGCGGAGAGAGGAGAACCGCGAGGGAGTTGGGGAAGGAGTCCTGGGCACTGCCTCTGGTCCCGCAGCAAGGCCACTTTAATTTGCCTCACGTTCGATCCCGGTGGACGAGCCAGAGAGCTGGGACGGTGACAGAACCCTCTTGGTTCAGGTGCTTCTTTTTTAAAAAGAGCAGAGAGGGAACAGAGTGATGAAAGGACTTTAAAGTCTGGTTTGAAGTCACTAACATTGGGCAGCTTTGTGCTGCTGTGTTTGTTTTGGGAGAAAAATAAAGAAATGGCTGCTGCAACCTTCAATCCTGCCTCCAGGATCCTTCCTGAGCCCGGGGTAGCACATGGTCTGCTACATTGGGGCAGAAGGTAAAATGCAAATAAAAACTGAAAGCTGTGATTTAAAAACCTACTTGGACCTTTATTAGAACAAACACAGTACAAAGACAAGATGTAGATTGTTTTATCTTATCAATTTTATTGTTTTTTGTAAATATACACTGATAGACATTTAAAACACATTACAACAAAGTTGGCACAGGAGCAATTAGGACTAGGAACATTGTCTCTGGATGTGTGGATGAGTCGAGACAAAAATGCATCAAAAATTCACCAGTTTAGAATTAACATTCCTTAGCCAAAGATTGCATGGATTTTAGGTATTTCGCCCTCCATGGTGCATAATATCATCATAAGATTCATGAAATCCGGAAAAATCTCTACAAGGCCAAACAGCACAACTGAAAGCCTGTGACCTTTGACCCCTCAGATGCACTGCATTAAAAAACGGCATGTTTTTGTGATGGAGATCACCACATGGGCTCAGGAATACTTTGACAAACTGTTGTCAATAAACACTGTCTCTGAATCCACAAATGCAGGTCAAGACTGTACTGTGCATAGTTAAAGACAAATTTCAACAACATCCAGAAACGCCGCCAACTTCTCTGGTCTCGAGTTTACCTGAAATAGACGGATGCTCAGTTGAAACATGTATTGTGATCTGACGAGTCAACCTTTCAGATTGTTTATGAAGATAACGGACCTTGTCTTCTCCAGACTAAAGAAGAAAAGGAGCATCCAGATTGTTACCAGTCCTGTTGAAAGGAAAGGTTATGTAACACATCTCCTGGTAAGCAAGTGTTAAAGTGCCACTCAGTGGTTGCTATTAATAGCTCTGTACTGCATTAAACAAGCATCAAGCTCTGCTCCAGAACCACCAATGCTTAGACTCCCTACCTCTTAAAACATACGCTTGCGCTAAAAAGTCCCTGCTGACATCCCACCCACAGCATTTGAATGATGGTGTGCATGATCTTGTAGCACATTCAGTGGCCGACTTTTACAGCTGCTGTGTGTTAAAGAGCGACGTGTGAGCTCTACAACGAGTCTCCTTGCTGCAGAGACGGTACTGATCTCCTGCTGTCTGAACTGAGCTGAACCACATCACTGTATCACCTCTCCGATTAATACACACTGTACAATATATCACAACTATTACTGTAATGCAACTCAGAGTTAGTTATGTCTATATGTGCTTTTAGTTTACCTCATACCACTCAGTACCTGCTGTCATGTAAATACAGCGAATCTGTCTCATATGCCATATAAATACGTAAATAGATCTACTTTTATTTTATGTCTCTTGTACTTTAACTTACGTCTAGATTTATTTCTATTCTCTATTTTTCTGCATAGTATATGTGAGTTTATGTGCAATTGTATGTCTTAATACTGAAACACTGCAATTTCCCGTCAGGATCAATAAAGTTCTGTCTATCTCTATCTATCTCTTGTGTGACAAAATAAACGAGTCACTCTTTAGTGTGAGAAGGTCAGCAATAAAACTGAACAAGTGATTCAGCAACAGCCAATCAGAGAGCTAGGAGAGAGAGAGAGAAAAAGTGGAAGAGAGACATGCATGCCCAGACCACAAAGACAGAGGAGCAGCTTGCTGACTTATATGCAAATTTCATGCTCTTTTGTCCCAACTGGCTCTCGTCCCTGTGCCCATACATTTTCAACCCAGAACTACACACATGATACTGAAGAATACACAGACACTCTGAACCAAAACTCCCCTCAGTGTATTAGGTAAACTTTTACTAGAGGTTGTGCAAGAGTGGAAATAACAAACTGTGTTTTTCATAAATAAATACAATCAGATAAATGCAGAAGCTGCAGCACCAGCTTTAGCCTTTTTCCTGAAGAACAGCAGGAAAATAGAACTAACTGGTGACAGAAGCCAAGAAAGATTCTGTAAACGTCAAGAGTGTCTTCACTACCAGGTGAGCATCTGCACTTACGCTACTTATTCATCACTTACAGCCACTTTAGTTTTACTGACGTTAAATGTGATTGTCAGCTGTGTGTAACTTGTGAAGGTGGCTAACAGGTTGTGCTAAAATGTTCACAGTAAAATGACGACTGTGCTCGTTCTGCTGGGTGTCCTCCTGCATCTGACCTGCTTTTGTGAAGGTAAGTTTTTATCTTCTCTGTGTTCTCTACATCATTCTGTTTTGTGAAGACGCATTAACAAATCTAGATTCAATTCTGAGATGTCTATAAATTCAGTTCAACTTTATCATATCTAGTCTTTGCAGAAGTGCTCACCTGTATCTAAATGCATGCCTGTATTGTGTTAGATTAGTTCAGTGCTGGATCATTTAGCAGAGCCTGATTTCCAATTTTAACGTGTGATTCACTTAATACACGAGTTATCTATATGACCTACAGCAAACTCCCAAGAAGGAGTCAACTCATCAGTAATGCAATAAGGTGTCCTTTTTCAGTACCGGCACATTACAAAATTATGGGTAATACAAATGTATTTGTCAAGTACCAAAGGTTTACAGTGGGGTTGGGGAACTCCGGTCCTGGAGGACAGGATTCCTGTACAGTTTGTTGATTTTTCTGCTCATTTTATTTATTTATTTATTTTTTATATATATATATTGTAGGGAATATGTACTCTTCATTTTATTATTATTGTCTTGATATTATTATGGTCAAAATGTCTTCAGATGTGTCTCAAGAAATGGTGATAGATGGTTCATGGAGTATGACGCACACCTGATTTAACTCATAATTTAATTACTGGGCTTGGCTGATGTGGGAAATCACCACACTGTGCTGGAATCCAGGACTCAGTTCGCCACCTCTGGCTCATAACAAAGTTCAGTGGCTTCAGCAGTTTTTGTGCTGCTAGCCAAGGCCAGGTCCCAGCCAAGCAAGAGTCTGACAAGGAAAATGTCAGCAATTTCAGCCACGTTAGAGTGACTAGTGTTGTAGCTACACTACCAGTGGTTTTCAAACTGGTTATCAGAGCACTCAGTATGTCCACATTTTAATTTTACATCTAGTTGGAATGGAGGAAAAATCTGGATCGTCTGGGGGGAACCACTGGTGTAGACTATGGCTCCGTCCAAAACCACATAAAACTACACTGTATACACTGTAGTAATGAATGGACTTTGAATGTCAACATCCAAGTCAACATCCAAAGTTCAAAGTCATTACACACCGGCATAGACTCAACACTCAACCAACCAACTCGACCAACGTGCAGCACTCAGTGACTCCGAACACTGTTGGGTTTGAGAACAAAGTAATCACTCAAACACCATTAAAACACCTTTTAATGTAAAGGAATCCACAGCTTGGGAGATCTAAACACTTAATGAGTTGGAAAAAGCTGATTTTAATAAGAGCTGTTGTTTAAAATCTCTATGAATTGATCACAATTGCATTCGAGTTTGGAATCCACCAAGCAGAACAAGGGATACTGGATGTCCTGGAATGCTGCGTTCTTACCCAGTCTCTGCCCAGGAGGCATAGCTTGGACACAGTAGCACAGAGAGACACAGAGTGTCAGTGCAGTTCTAGAATGGAGTTGGAAAGTTAGTTGAAATAGCTCCATGTTGTAAGTAAAGCCAGCCAACGCACGAAAAGTCAATGTTTTATTTTCATCACTGCAGTTTAAGTTTACTGTTTGTTAGTGTTTGTTCAATTGTCTTGCAATGATTGTAGTTACTCGTCACTGTCTTTAGGATTCAGAATATTATTATTTGGCCAGCAGTAAATATTGAGTCTGAAATTTTATCTGTAAAAGTTTAGGGGAAGTGTGAGCAGAGAGTATGAGTACAGATTGGAGTTTGCCTGATGATGCAGCACGTGTGGGAACGGTCCCTTTCAGAACCAGCCAAGTTGGCCTCGCTTCGTTGACCAAGCGAAAACTCCAAGTGCTGGCCATAGTCTGGCCCTGCATTCATTATAGTTTGATGAATAGCTGCATTCAGAGGCCGTGTGACCAGACTCACCACCAGTGCTGCAAACTATCCTTGTATTCTTAGTGGGATGCTTGGGTTACCTCTGCTAGCTCTTTTTTGAAGCCAGAGTAAGAAAATGTCAGCATATTTACGCTTCTTAAACTAATAATCTGTCCCAATTCTTACCAGAGACCTCTCGACCATTAGCTCCTAAATAAGTGGAGAATTCTCTGACTAATTTCATGTATTTGATCCCTATATGCCAACTTGATGATTAGACATATCATTACATGGGTAACACTTTCTATGAATGTCACATTTTGTAAGCATCTATAAAACACATTCATGTTATAATGCATTCATAAGGCATTATAAACATGGCTATAAATATTTATGAAAATGCATTATACGTTATAGCCATGCTTATTATGCATTATGAATTGTTAACATAATACATTATAAGTACTGTTCATAACAAATTATAAGAGCTCATAAGTGGTATTAGTCCGCTCTAAGTAAAGTGAAGCGTACTGTACTAAAGCCTCCTCCAGTGTTCAGAGTGAGGCTTCAAGTTGAAGTATTTACTGAAGGATTTACTGAAACACTAAAACATTCACAGTAAAGCACATTACAGGCTTCAAATGTCAGAGTTTAAACTAGAGCTGCCATCAGTGTTTTACCCAATGTGGGAAAGGTAATGTACACCACCGTTAGCTTGGTATTTGTCTGTACTTTACACTCTCCAAGCTGGGACTGACTTCTGTGGCACTGACAGTATAACATGTTATCAACACTGCTTATAATGCATTATATTAACAATTCATAATGTATAATAAACATGGCTATGAAGTGTAATCCAGTGTAATTGATTTTTATAAATGTTTATAATCGTATGAAGGCATTATAACATGTTATAAATGTGTTTATAGATGCTTACAAACGTGACATTCATAGAAAGTGTTACCATTTCATGCTTCATTTATCCTGTTTGTTTATAATGATTCATAAACTAGCCAGTTATTTCTAAACAATATGGTGTGTGGATGTTTTTATCTCTCTGGATGCGAGACCTCTGACCGCTGGTCGAACTGTCCCAGATTACGAAATGATTGAAACTTTATTTAAATTTCCGTCTCCTCTGAGAGAGATGTACTCTCGCAAAATTAGATAAACAATAATGCTACAAGAATTTTGAAAAAAATTGAGTTATAAGGTTCTACATGAGCTCAAATGGGATTGTTACCAGTGTTCTGTAAAGCTTGTACAACCTAGCAACAGTAGATATGAAAGAACTGCACTTTAACTGTGTATCATATTGAGAAGAACATTCTTTGCCTTTCAGGTGGTTTGACTGATAAGGGGCTGCTTTTCCCAAAACCATCAGCCAATTCCTACGTTAAGTTCAACCCCCTGAAATCCCTGAGTTTAGAGGCCTTTACTCTGTGTATGCGTCTGTCTGTGGATCCAAATGTAGTTTCCAAAGGGAACCGTGACACCATCCTCTTCGCTTATTGCACCAAAGAAGGTGATGAGCTTAACGTGTGGCAGGAGAAGAGCAACATCTCCTTATACCTGAGAAGCAGCTCAGAGGGTGCTTTGTATGCCGTCCCACCTCTCTCCATCTTCCGCACAAACCTGTGTGTCACCTGGGAATCCAGCACGGGTCTGACTGCATTCTGGGTGGACGGCCGCCGCAGCACTCTGCAGGTGTACAGGCAAAACCACAAGGTCCAGCCTGGTGGTGCTGTTATTCTGGGTCAGGATCCGGACTCTCTCCTGGGTGGTTTTGATGAAGACCAGAGTTTTGTAGGCGAGATTTCAGACGTGAACATGTGGGATTATGTGCTCACAGGCGGTCAGGTTAAGCAATTCAATGAGAAGTTAGGTTTGGGACCAGAACCGAATGTTCTTAACTGGAACACTATGCAGTATGAAGTACATGGGAATGTCCTTGTAGTGCCAGAGAAGTATAAATGATATGTAAGACAACAATCTCTGTAATAAGGTCCTTGGGTGTTGTTGTTGTTGTTGTTGTTGTTGTTGTTGTTGTTGTTGTTGTTGTTGTTGTAGTAGTAGTAGTAGTAGTAGTAGTAGTAGTAGTAGTAGTATGTTTTCTGCAATTATGCATGTACCCGTGTATATATACATATATAAAAATTATGATAATTGCCTCACATTTGAGCAAAGTTTTTGATATAATCGCAATATTGTTAATACATGAAAATTAACACTACCTAGATAAACAAACTTGTATTCCAGATACATTTTTAAAAAGCAGTACAATGCTGGTATTTAAACATTTACTTTTCAAACATCAAATTATTATTAAAGAATAAAATTTGTCCAAATATTAATGCTCACTCTGTGTATAGTTCATACTATTTGCAGTTAAGACTGGACTACATAAGCCCTGTTGTATAGCATTGTGAGCTGGAGATGCTCCAACATAAAATAAGGCATGAAACATACCTGTACTTGTACTGTTCCATCATAACCCAAACCACAGGATATTCTAATTAACTTTTCATTTGTTTAAATCATATAATCTTAAATATATCAGTACATAATGGTCTTCGGCTGCGATGAACAGTGTGCTGGCTCATGGCCTAGTCCAACACCAGTACCACGATGTGTCCTAAATTGCAGTCTAGTCTACTATTTTGGTTGCAGTAGTGGTTGTTTTTTCAAGCATTTGATATTTTGATGGCTCTTTGAAGTCTAAGCTTGTTTGGACTCTTGCATGTTACGTCGTTATGCCATTAGCTTTTAGGAGATTCCTCATGTGGTGCAATGATTTATTATTATTATTATTATTATTATTATTATTATTATTATTATTATCTATAATTTATTAAACAATGAATCAATCATTTTAAGCTTCCAAAAGCCGGATTTTGTTCCTTCTTCCTGACTGTTTGTTTTTCTACTTTCATAGAAATTTTCCTGCTCTCCATATAAATGGTATCCTTTTTTAAAACTATTAAACAAATAAATAGGTTTACGTTAGGGCTGTAGTCAAGACCATTTTCAAGTCCAAGACAATGACTAGTCGAGACAGAGTCAAGACTGAGTCTAACGGGGGTCCAAGTCAAGACAGGGTCTAAATGAAAGCAAGACTGGATCAAGACTAAAACCACAAAAAATCTAGTCCTGTTCAAGACGAGGCCTTAATTAGTCTTGACATCCTTCCAGTACAAGTTACTGAAAAAAATCACAAAACGAGCCTATATGCACAAAAATAACTGCACCAAATTCAAATGATAATTCTTTCTCTTCTACTTATAAAGACGAATGTGGTATGGAATCTTTGCTTTTAATGCCAACACTACTTTGTAGTGCCTTCCTTGTTGTGTAAACCAAAATGAGCCCACACTGTAGGAGCAGGAGCTGGTCAAAGTCTTTTGGATTCAGCTGTTGGTGGTATCAATACTACTCAGGTAGGTTTGCTAATGCCAACATTAGCGGTGTGCCCTTTCGCTGCTTGTTTACATTGGAGTGGAAGAGTCTAATGGCTGAAGATGGATTAGCGGTTGGGGGTTTAAACACAACATGAATCAAGTCTGCTACAAATCTTTGCATGTAAACTATTAATTAAAAATAAATACTCTGTTTTTGAGAATTGATACAGTATCACAGAACATTATATTGCAGTACTCAAGAGTACCGATATTTTCTCACACTCCTAGTGTTTATGCACTTTTCTGCTGATATTAACAACAGTGTGGTGAACACCAGTGGTGTTAATAAAGACTACTTCTCGTAGCAGAAATCACAGCCTCTCCAATGTCTCCTTCTTCGCCAAGACGCTACAACGTCCACACAAATTTGAGGTCAGCGGTATTGATGTAGTAAACAACTTTGTCTTTTCCAAATGTGCAGATGGTGAAGAGCTACAGAACTATAAAAGCACAGAGGCGCACAGTTACCTTCATCACAACAAAAAAATAAAGGCGCAATATGATGTACTGTGTACACATTCAATCAAGTAAGTTCTTCAGTTCTGCTGGAAAAGGATCTCAGGTGACTCCTCATGAAGCTGATGGAGAGAACGCCAAGGCCCAGTCCCATTTCTTTTTACCCCTACCCCTTGTTTTCGAGTGTCACCCTAACCACTTGGAACTGAGTTACAGGGTAGTGGTTGAAATCTTCCCTCTGAAATGAGACCCTCAAATAAAAAGAGCATCACTTCATTAACAGCTACCAGCGCTGCTCTGTAGGCGACCTGCCAGTCTGCAGTGACCACAGAGGAGGGTAAAGTTCAGCTCCTCACTGCTGGGCTTAGTTACATTTAGGACATCATATGCCTTCAAAGAGGGGGGCAATTATTTATTATCACCCACCCCTAATTCTTCAGTGATATGAGGCTGAAGTCAGATATTCACCAGCTTCTTGTTTGAATTTTTCCATTCCACCTTAAATGGAGCAGCAGTTACATTCTGGCGCTTCAGGTGTCAGAACTGCTGGACTATTTAAGGTGGAACGGGACAGTTAGCTAGCCAGCTACTGAGACATTAGCATGCTATTAGCAATTTTTTATGCTTGTTATGTAGAAAACGACCATAATACACTGAAACGACATTAAACTAAGATAATACTGTGGTTATTGTAATTAACAGAGAAAATACTTACATTTATGGCTTTCTTTGGTCTCTTGTTCAGCCATCTTGCTGTTTTTTTTCTATTTTTTTTTTTTCATATCACTCTGTTTGGAGTCTCTGAAAAAAATCCGTTTGGAGGGTCATGTAGCCCCAACACTTCGCCCTCCCCCTCTATCTCAACAAGAATCAGGACACCCTACCCCTAGACATGAATGTGCAAAACAGAAGACAGATTGGATTCGTTTAACTCTAATAATGCCATGTGTGTTATTACACAGCTTTAATGACTGCACAGTTGTGGAAAACAGTTCAAATAAAGGAAATCTGCAGTGAGAAACTTTAGTGTAGCGTAGGAGGTGTTGAGGCAGGATGCAAGTGCGAGTTGCTTTTATTTAAGTGAGATTCAACAGCGTCCAAAAACACAGTGGCAGAGGTCAGTAGAACAGATAAATCCATGACAAGACAAAACAAATTAAAACAGAACTACACCAGAAATAAAAGCTACAATCAGAGAAAGAGGCAACAGGGTATACAGACAATGCAAGACAAAGGGACTGAGCAAACACAGGGGTATAAATACTAACACAGAAAACGAGAATCACCTGAGACCAATGAGAAGGTGGGGCTAGGAGACAAAGAACAGGTGAAGACAGATAGAGGAGCTAACATAACATCAAAAGCACATGTCACAAGTAAACAAAGGCACATGGCAGACATACAAAAACACACAGCACTGGGAAACCAAGAAATAGGCAAGAACAGAAAGAGCAGGACAAAAAGTGAACAGATGTTACATTTATACTGATGCTGTTCATGTGTATGTTTGAAAGAGAGAGTCTTTGATTAAGAGCATCAACTGACTGCTGGACTTCACACTGAGCCTTTTGTCTGTGTGATGATGTCACGCTGGTGCAAGGAGGATACAGGAGCCGCGTGCGTACCAGCGCTCAGATTTCCTGACGTGTTGATAAACAGCAAACACACATCATGGTGAGTATCTCTGCTTTTGATTCAAACTTCTTTGAACTATAATTACATTATGGTACATATATTATTCAAATGTATTATCCCTTTTTGGTGGACATCGGTCATTGTGTTACCTTAATCAGGGAGCGGACGGGTTTCAAACCTTTTTTGTGCTTGTTGTCGGTGATCATTCTTCCCAAAATACGTGTTAGTGTAACCTTTAATGTTTCCAGATGTAAAGATTTTCACCAAAGTGCATTAGTGTCTCCCGACTGAGTCTACTGAGTACTTGCAGTCCTTATGTGGTGACTTCATGATTTGAAATGCTTTTATTTTAGACATCTGAACCATGAGTGAAAATCCCACCTATAAATTGATTGCATATATCGTGGGGTCTAAAAGTCTGAGACTGTGTTGAAAGTCTGGGACTTTTTCATTTAAATCTGAAAATAAACAACAGAAAGTTTTAGAATTTCGAACAATTTAAAACAAAAAGCAAAATTATGTTTAATGAAAATTTAATATTAAAAAAAATAAAAAAAGGAAGAAATATTCAAGATTTGGCACTATTTCCAGGTCACTATTCAAAATTAAGCACATTTGAAAGGCCTTTGTGTATAAAGGTCAGTCATTTTTTAGTCTTATCTTTTCCATTGAAGTTTGTGTTCAGACAGACTTGTGGAGTTTAGCTAGAGTGGACACTGTCATTAGATCATACAGTATACAATTATTAATAAATTCTAAAAATTCATTTATTTGTTTAAAAAATTAAAACATGCAATATAAAATTTGCCACAACCTTCACACAGACTGCATTATATATCGCTGCTGTCAGAAGAAAACCTCGTATCTCCATTTTTGTCGTTTTCAGTTTTTGAGATATTTTGAAAATGCCTGTTGCTCTTTACATTGTGTGTAAATTTCATGATGAATGGACCAAAAGAAACGACCCAAAATGACTTGGAAAAACGCCTGGTTCCATTGACTTACATTAAAAGTCAAGTAGGTTTTTTCCTTCTCCTGTAAACTTACCATTTTGGAGATATGAGGTTTTGTTCTGACAGCAGTGATATGTTTATGTTAAATTTCGCAAATAAACAGTAGCTGTGTATTAAAATGTGTAGAATGGTGTCTCTGTAGAGGGCGTTTTCACTTATTTACACTCCAGAGAATCAACAAAACGTGTCACTTGACCAGGAGTGCCCAAACGTCTGCATGTGACCGTTTAAAATGTGACGTTACTGGTGATAAGACACTCCATCTTGTGATCTGTTGCTGAAATGTATTCAGCCTGTATGTGTGTGTCTGTGTGTGCTGCTCAGGCCTGCTGCAGGATGGTGCCTACTGTTGTCCTGCTGCTCTGCATCGTCTCCCTGGCTTTGGGCGCTGAAGGTGGGCGTGTTTTAATGATATTGGTCAACGATGTTAATCACTGTTGTTTACTCATATTAACAGGTATGACGCCTGAGCCGGTCTGCTGTGTGATTGGTTTTTTGATAAACTGTAGAGTAAGCATGGTTTGGTTGGAGCAGAGCAGTGAGTTGTGTTTTTTAAAAGAAAAGTTTTTGTATGACCCTGTCCAGTTATAATGTTGCCAAAGCACTGAAATTTGTTTATAATAAACAGTCAACACACACACACACACACACACACACACACACACACACACACACACACACACACAGTGCACACACTTAATTTTACGTATTTTATTGATATTATTTCTGAATTAACTATGCTCATGGTTCATGGTTCACATTCATTTTTTTTCTTTTTGAACTTAATTTTTGAACTTGAAGTATCTGGCTCGGTTATGTGTATATCTCCATTGAAAATGTTTAGGATAAGTTGGAGTGATGGAGCTCCACTGAACCCCTTTGGGATGAGTTGGAGCTCCATTGAACACCTTTGGGATGAGTTGCAGTGATTATGCTCCGCTGAACACCTTTGGGATGAGTTGGAGTGATTAAGCTCCATTGAACACCACTGGGGTTAGTCGGAGTGGTGAAGCTCCATTGAACACCTTTAAGATAAGCTGGAACAATGACATTTTGTAGATCCCATAACATTTTACAGCTAATTTGTGAGCATTGTTTTAAATCTTTGTGCTCATTTACACAATTCAAATGCTTTCCACTCCCTCCAAATCAACATATGCATTTTTGTCTGACCTTGTCGGTTCATTTTGCTGCAAAAGTTATAGAAAGTATTCCTTCTCTTCCTTTGGTTTACCCATATTACAAAAAATACTATGCAAAATGATCATTAACCATTTACAGAACAACATGCAAGCAAAGAGGAGAAATTTTGTTATGCTGATAGATGTTTTACAGGAACATCTCAGTCTGGCAGCCACATTGGAGTCTATTCCTAAATGATTTTTGGAATTTCTCTTATTTGCTATTCTCCTGGCTGGCTCGCCAAAACGAAAAAAATGAAATCTTGATAGGACCACAAATAAATTAAATGGAATTTGGGGACCAACTCCATATTGAAACCATTGATTTCGGAGGACAACAAGGTGTTTGGATGATATACTGTTTTTGGTTTTTGATAAATAGATGTACTTTATAGACCCCTATGTGGAAATTTGGGTGCTATGGAACAACATGGAACATTTTTTTACATTTTTAAAAACTAAAAATAAATAACAGTACATGACTGAAGTGCCCTTGAGCAAGACACCTAACCCCCAACTGCTCCCCTTGCACTGTGGATAGGGCTGCCCATCACTCTGGGCAAGTGTGCTCACTGCCCCCTAGTGTGTGCATTTGCTAGTGTGTATGTGGTGTTTCACTGCACAGATGGGTTAAATGTGGAGGTGAATTTCCCTGTTGTGGGACTAATAAAGGGTAATTTAACTTAATACTCACAATAAATATGTTTCTACTTTTTTTTTCTCTTTCTCACTTACAATCACTCTCCCTCTCTCTGTGTTAGTGGGCCTGAGTGGTAAGGTGTTGCTGTTCCCGTATGAGACAGACTTCAGCTTTGTGAAGCTCACACCCCAGAAGCCCTTGGGCCTGTCTGCGTTCACTCTATGTATGCGGGTGGCCACCGAGCTGCAGGGAGAGCGGCAGATCATCCTGTTTGCCTACCGCACCCCCGACTACGATGAGCTAAACGTGTGGCGCGAGAAAGACGGCCGCATTTCCTTCTACCTGAGCGGAGACGGCGCTTTCTACCATCTGCCTCCGCTCTCCACCTTCCGCACGCACCTGTGCCTCACTTGGGCGTCCCGCACCGGCCTGGCGGCTTTCTGGGTGGATGGACGGCGCAGCGCCCTGCAGGTCTACAAACCGGGTCACAGCATCCGAGACCGCGGGACCGCCCTGCTGGGACAGGACCCGGACAAGCACCTGGGAGACTTCGAGGCAGTGCAGAGCTTTGCCGGCGAGATCACAGATGTGAACATGTGGGATTATGTGCTGTCAGGCAGCCAGATTAAAGCGCTGTACTTCAACCAGAGGCAGCGCGTCCCACGAGGAAACGTCTTCGATTGGAGCTCCATCGAGTATGAAATCCATGGAAACGTGATGGTAGTGCAAGATGACTGACTACACCCGGTCGACGTAGTGAACACACGCTCACACTCGCACTCACACTCACACACGTGTTGGCACGAGATTGTAGCTCTAACAGTTTGTCTTCTGAGCTCAAATGTTTAATGTGTTGACCCTTATTATTGTCGCTTCCCTGTATTATATAAATATAATAACTTATTCTCTAATAAATGACTTAGTCGTGTAATGAATTACTTTCATGTTTGATGCAATTTGTTGATTTTTATGATTTACATGAACGTCTGAATTGGCCATTTGCTAAATTTGGACAAGTCCAGAAATACTTTGGTTACTGTTGCTGCGTCTGTCTAACCTTCGCCTTGGTATCATCCATAGCACTCATGCTAACACACTCAGAAGTTGCAGTTGTTCAAAGGAAAGATTAAAAGCACAGATTTGTAATTATTATTGTTCAAAAATAAATTGGATTTTCAAGACATTTAATGCAGACATATATTCTGAGGCACTGACAAAATATGAATACAGACTAATGTGAAGTAATAAAGAAAAGAAACCAGAAACCATGTTTACGTTAATCTTACCAATGAGATAATTAAGCTATTGCATGTTAAAGCAGTCAGTTTTCATGTCTAATTAAAAGGGGATTTAAATGACTGAAGCTGCCCCTTCAGATGAGCTAATGCTGGTGGAGTGGAGATTAAGATTGCTCTTTTTATCATTAAATATTATATTAAAATGAGTGAAATACAGTAACCCAGCCAGAGTTTAGCTTACCTTAAAGCCATTAGTTCTGACATAAAGACTCAGGAGGCAGAAGTGAAGGAGGACAAATTTTTATATTCTGAATGGAATATTACAAGTCGAAAGAAAACAGTTCAGTAGAAATTAAAGCGCCTTTGGTGTAGGCCCCGTCCTTGGTCCAGGTCTTGGAGCGTCAAGACCCTGCCTGATAGAGACAGCAGGGGTGTAGCCTACCCACCAGACAACTGGACAGGGACCAAATTGGTGGTGGTGGGCAGGAAGGAGGGGAAAGTCAAAACATAGGCACCTGAAAGCAGCAGAATAGGTACGTAAATTGAGTAGGCCAGTGATTGGTCAGGAGTAATGAATAAATGATGAGTCTTCCTGGCAGAACATTTGCTAAAGCTTCCATTAGTTTTAGTCCATTAGCTGTGAGTTTGCTCTACAGCTTCGGTTTAATCCAAACATTCTTCGGTTTCAGGAATAAAATATAAAAACAGCAGCACCTTCCAGATGATCAGGATCGCCTGTGTCAGTCATTATACACTCTTCAGTCACACCTTTCCACTGTTTTTAGTCTAATAACTATATAACTTACTGCCGCTGTGGAAGTCTAGAGAGGCCATGAGGTAGGTAACTTATTTTTCTTCTGATATAAAGATTATCAAGTTATCTCAAGGAAACAACTTGAGATCGCAAGACAACCCCGTACTGCCACTGCCCTTTTTCCTCCAATTGCAGGAGGAAGCAGCGCTCAGAGACAGCCGTGGTTGTCTGTAAGACATGTCAATGTATGTAAAGGATGTCCCGTCTGTAGAGGCAAGAAGTCTTGGTGTGGTTCTGGATGGCCAGTTATCGTTCTTGACTCACATTGTGAACCTAACTCGGTCATGCAGATTTCTTCTGTTCAACATCCGGAGGATCCGACCCTTTCTCAGTCGAGAGGCCACCCAGGTGCTAGTGCCGTCTCTTGTCATCTCAAGGCTTGACTACTGCAACTCGCTCTTGGCTGGTCTTCCAATGCGGCCATCAGGCCTCTGCAACTCATCCAGAATGCAGCAGCACGGCTCGTCTTCAATCTCCCCAAGTTCAGCCACGTCACCCCACTGCTGCGCTCCCTTCACTGGCTTCCTGTAGCTGCACGCATCAGATTTAAAACCCTTATGCTTGCCTACAAAGCCAAAAATGGACCAGCCCCTCCCTGCCTGATGGCAATGGTGAAATCTCGAACTGTACCACGAGCCCTTCGAGCTTTGAGTACAGCTCGGCTTGACCCGCCATCCTTCAAGGCTCTCGGAAGGCAAGCATCAAGACTGTTCTCTGTACTGGCACCCAGGTGGTGGAACGAACTCCCACTGGCTGTCCGAACAGCAGAGTCTCTCGCTGTCTTCAAACACAGACTGAAGACCGTCTGTTTATACAGCACTTAAATGAGCACTGAGTTAAGTATTGACTGTAATGTATTGTACAGCACTTATGTATTGTATTGTATTGTATTGTAGTGTATTGTATTGTATTGTAGTGTATTGTATTGTATTGTATTGTATTGTATTGTATTGTATTGTATTGCACTGTTCTGTGTTTAACTCTGTTCCTTTTTCTCTGGGTGTCAATAATGACTTTCTGATTCTAGCAGTGTCTGAGCTCAGGACTGACTTTCTCTCTCTAACCTATTGGTAACTAGCGAAGATACTTCCTCTGGACAGACAAAGCACTTTTTGTAAGTCGCTCTGGATAAGAGCGTCTGCTGAATGCTGTAAATGTAAATGTAAAGGATGTTGTTCTTTCTGCAGAACACAACAATGAAAACTTTTCATTAAATTCACACCAGTGAGTGTCATGAAGTGCAACAGTGGTAAGAAAAGAGCAAGAGGAAGAGAAACTGAGAGAAACCAAGACTCAAAGGGGAACCCATCCTCCTCTGGTCGACACCAGATAGCAAACAATAACACATGAGCAAAATGAACAGAGGATAAGATTTTACAATTAATATACATTATTGAATGTAGAGAAGAAGAAGAAAAAAAGAGACCAGTCTGTGATTGGACAGAAGTGTGCAGATTAACCAGTGATTACTGATGAATTACATTCACACAGCAGGTAAAAGTGGCCCAAATCTGATTTTCTCACTATATCCAATATATTTTTTGTTTGGCTGTTCAGATTATCTTTTAAATGTGATCTGTCATCAGTCTGAACGGATCAGCTCCTGAACTGACCCGCATGCGCAAAAGAACAACGTGTCACGCTGCTTCATGTTGCTTCACATGGTGCGCCTATCCAGAGGTGAACAATCATGACTTCCAATGAACACCAGTCACTCCAAGACCTTTCAGTTTCATCTTTGCCAGCGTCACAGGAGCCATCATGAAGCTTCATTGACTGACAGCTGGGCTCATCACCCACAATGTATTCCAGCTCGCCGTTGAAAGTGCAAGTTATTCGGACACGGCCACTCCTTCGGTTCATGTCCTCGGATTCTTTTAAACTTGCTTTTAGACTTTTTTCTTGACGCTGCAGCCTCGTTCTCCTACGGCTTCATTTAGTCATTTCTTTCACAATCTTTTCGAACGCGAAGGGGTTTGAATAAATCTCTTCTAATTTTTTGGTACAGAAACAAACAACATTTGAAGAAAAAGATCAGATTTGGGCCACTTTTGCTTTGTTCACACAGCAGGTAAAAGTGGCCCAAATCCGATCTTTTTCTCTAATGTGACACAGATGTGTCTCTGTGTGTCAGTGTGAACAGATAAACACACTGAATCTGACATTTTCAATTCCGATTTGAGACGTTTTCATATGTGGTACTGAAATCTGATACGTATCAGATCTGCGGCGATGCGACTCAGTATGAACAGCCAGATCGGAATTCATGCGTCAATCCAACTCCACATTCGTCATGATTATGCGCTGCTGAAACCTCTAGGCTGATGCTTCTGTACCAAAATATTAGAAGAGACTCATCGCGACCGCTCTGTGTTTGAAGAGATTTCTAAAGAAATGTCCGAACGCAGCCGCAGGAGAACGAGGCTGCAGCGTCAAAGAACAGCTAAAAGTCTGAAAGCAGAGTTTAAAGAATCCGAGGACGCGAACCAAAGAAGTGACCGCGCCCTTTTTACGGCTTGAACACATTCTGGGTGATGAGCCCAGCTGTCAGTCAGTGAAGCTTCATGATGGCTCCTGTGATGCTGGTGAAGATGAAGCTGATCCTCCGAGAGCGACTGGCGTTCGCTGGCGGTCGTGATTGTTTACCTCTGGATGAGCCGTGAAGCAGCGTGAAGCTCAGTTCTTTTACACATGAGGCTTAGTTTAGGAGCTGATCTGTTCAGACTGATGTCACATACAGATCACATTTAAAAGATACTGTGAACAGCCAAATAAAAAAATCAGATTTGGGCCACTTTTACCCGCTGTGTAAACGTAGCCTTAGAGGCCTATCAGAGTAACACTGAGAAACAGATCTATGAGAATCAGTTACTGCTGAAAATCAGTAACTACTCAAAGATAAAGGTTGAAAGGTAATGTTTTTAATTTGTTTTGGACTGTAGCTTGAATTTGAATATTAATTGTCATGACAGATTTTGTCCACTAACATAACAATGACAACTGACCGTACATAATCACACCATGACAACTGACATAAACCTACATAGACATAAGCCATTTTCAAAAATGTTCTATATACAACCATCTACAGCACCCACAGCATGTTATTATCAAGATTGCAGAGCACTGTAGCACCATGATGGTGTGTTAGATGTGTAGGCACTTCACGTGTCTCCAAGAAAGCACATGCTGGCCTCACCCTGCTAGCCTGGTAGCATCATGTGATAGAGGGAAAACTGGCTAGCAGGTCAAAGCTGGGAAGGTTGGGAGGAAAATTAGGGAAAAGAAAAAGATTTAACAGTGCATTTGGTACCTTTAATGTGCACGTGCTGCTTATGTAGTTGTTTCTTAAAGTTATAGTTTCTTGCACACTGTACAACAACTAGTTAGCTAGCATTAGCAGCGAAGACCTTAATGTTGCTTTATGTGCTCAGCAGAGCCTTTTCTTTACCTTTTGCAAAGCTGTAATCACAGAATCTTGGTGTTTGTTTGCATTGTAGTCAGAATCAGGAAGCTTGTGTGTGTGTGTGTGTGTGTGTGTGTGTGTGTGTGTGTGTGTGTGTGTGTGTGTGTGCTAAAGCATTGCTGCAGTTAGTCAGCATAACTTAGGCTGAAAAATTGTCCACAATGCAAGCAGCGCTTACACATGTGAGCAAAAGTCTATGGCCTGATCAAATTGGTGGACTACTAAGAGACAACAATATAATGACTAGGACAATAAAATAAGTAAATGACAACATGGTACATTCAAAACAAATTATTTTACAGAAATGTTATAACAACTTAAAATGCTAAAGAAAATGTAAACTTATAAAATATACAACTTCACAAAGTACTTTTCAGGAATACTAAAACAAGCAAGTATAGAAAGGAGACTAAGTATAAGC